GTTTCACTTGCAAGCAAACCTTTAAAATGGTCCAACACTTCTTTAACCTGGGTAGATCCAAAATCAAGATGTTCATCCAATGATTCCCAGCCACGCATTTTCTTTCGTTTCATCAATATATATATATATAAAAGAACCTTGCATACCTTCTAGACATCTGGAGCTTCATACGGATCCAATAATTTGTATCATTGAAAATATCTTCTTTGGTCACAGACTTCACATTTTATATTTGAAATCAAACAAAGTAAATAAAAACAGTAAGCACGTAATATCATGAGATTTTTCAATGCATGGAGGAACAATCAGTGTAAAGTAATTAATCACATGCACACCATTTTGCCTGAAACATTTTTAAGACACTAAAGCACAGTCAAAAATTTGAGGGAACATAAAATAAAAATAATAAAAATTGTTAAGAATAATTACTACTCTTACCCAAAAGAAGGTGTAACTCAAAGCTATATCAACAAGTAGCAGTAGAAAATCAAGAAAGGGTGAAGAGACTTTGATATTTTGTGTATGTAAAGAATTCGGATTCTCAACACCAAATATTCAAGTATTATATAGTCCTTGACAATCAAATTATCACAACACCAGTTAAATTATTGAATTACAACGAAAAACACTGAAGTAACAATAAGTAATAAGGATATACATAAGAAGTAGGATGAAAAGCTGAAGAGAGGAACAAATGTTTCTTCAATAAGCATAAACTCTTCTTTCAAACTCATTCTTCCTTTTAACCAAATGCTAATTGGGCTTGAATCCCAAATAAAACACTCCAACATTTAACTTGGTCCAATCTCATTCACGACTTCTAACCCATAGGCCTTTATAGAGCTAGTTTTGGTTCACAACAATGTATTAATCTTTCTTATTGTCATGTAATTACATAACTTTGATATTTATACATAACCTCCCAAAAATAATCTTAAATGTCATATGTAGAAACACTTGCCAAGCATAATGTGGTTGTAAAGTAAATTCAAGATAGACAATATTCACAAATTGAACCAAAAATTTAAAAAAAAAGGGGTGAAATGTGAAAAAAAGCGTCATCGCTTGATAATTGTAATCAAGATTAGTGATAATGGAGTTAAAAAATTAAAAAAAATGACCAAGACTAAAACAGTGGAGGTTCAACACATTTCTAACCCGTAAGCCTTTAGTTTCACCACAAAAAAATAACATATGTTAGATTAGTATCAAACACTGTAATTAGTATTTTAGCTATATCAATCATAGAATTGATTCTAGTCAAACTATTATTTTGAATCATGGGATTAATTCTAAACCCCATTCAAGAAGAGGTTTCAAAGAAAAACAATGAAAATAGAGAACTTGGTGAGGGAAAGAAGGGGACTATTATAAGAGCATAGATGACGAATTAATGCACAAGTAGAGCAATATGAACAAAAAGCTAAATAAAAATTGCACATCAAAATATTTAACAACCAGAGAGAATTATATATTCGTCTTACCCCAAAAGTCAATAAATAGAAGAGTGAGGAGGGATTTTTTGGCAAAGCAAGACTGATTAGCTCGCCTAATTGCCATGAATGCTGCCCTCGAGGATGTGTACAAGAAGGTCTTTGCCGATTCCTATCAACATCAGACTAATACCTAAAAACGAAATCAAAATTTCCAAGGGTTATACATCAATAATCGACCTTTAACTGGTCAATTTAATAAATAAATAAATAAATAACTGAAAACACAGAAACTGAAGCAGCTCCTCCCTCATGAATCAGTATGAAATGTTAGCTTTTATCGGCACAAATGCTCGGCAAGCAGTAGTACACAGTTTCATCTCAAACCATGAAAACACAATTATATTCCAAGTTTGATTATCTTATTAATTCGTAAGACTACCTATGTCAAATCGAACACATTGAATCCAATCTCGAGCTTGCTAGTTCGTCTCAATTTTATTCCCACTCAAAAACTTATCCTTTAGTTTTAACCACAAATTATTAAAAAAATTCAATAGCAATTTAAAAGTTCTCATTAAAAGATTTATACCGAAGACGAAGGGAAAAAGAGATTAAAGGAGCATACCTGAAAGGATGAAATTAAGTGAGAGGGTAATTTCTTGAATCTAGAATGAAGATATGTGTCAAATGACAGAATATTTAATTGTAGAATTATGTCGGTTTGTGGTGCAATAAAAGCCACTTGGAGTGACCATTCAACCTCCAATTGACACGTAATGATAAGTACAGTACTTTAATGTGCAATTAATATAGCTTTTTGTACAACTTTTATTGCGGTGGTCGTCCTCCTCTTCACATTTCTATATAATAGAAATATATATTATAAGTGGGAAGCCTCTATGTCACAAGTTGAATTACAAAAATGTAAATATACATTAAATATAAATAAAAA